TAAGCCTACATATAGTCATGTGTGATCTTGTTTGATTTGTCTTAACATATAGATTATTAGTATATAATTTCTATAATCTTTTAATATACAAATTACAAGATAAAATGAATTAAAGAAGTGCATTGGATGATGTGTAAAAATAAAAGTGGACAAATACTATGGGATGGAGGTAGTATTATTTAAAAAATTTCACAATTGAACATTGTTGCCACCTCTCTTCTGTAAATTTTATTTTATTTACTTGTCCAAAAAAAAATTCTTTTCCTATATGCATTCAACCATGTAATTATACTTTATTAATCTCCGTTTCAAATATTTCACCACTCTCGTTATATGTACATATACTCATGGATTTTAATTTACCAAAAAATGTAAACTATTAAACTCTATTTGGTAGACGAAATTCAAATTATGAAGTTAAATTTAAGGACAATAATTTTAATTTTGTTGTTTGGTATCACTAAATATGTAAATTTGGAATTGATAATGCCACAATTGTATCTATCCAAATCAATTTCTTAGAATTTAAGGTCTCAATTCAATTCCAACCTCATCAATGTATAAGCCTACATATAGTCATGTGTGATCTTGTTTGATTTGTCTTAACATATAGATTATTAGTATATAATTTCTATAATCTTTTAATATACAAATTACAAGATAAAATGAATTAAAGAAGTACATTGGATGATGTGTAAAAATAAAAGTGGACAAATACTATGGGATGGAGGTAGTATTATTTAAAAAATTTCACAATTGAACATTGTTGCCACCTCTCTTCTGTAAATTTTATTTTATTTACTTGTCCAAAAAAAAAATTCTTTTCCTATATGCATTCAACCATGTAATTATACTTTATTAATCTCCGTTTCAAATATTTCACCAAAAAATGTAAACTATTAAACTCTATTTGGTAGACGAAATTCAAATTATGAAGTTAAATTTAAGGACAATAATTTTAATTTTGTTGTTTGGTATCACTAAATATGTAAATTTGGAATTGATAATGCCACAATTGTATCTATCCAAATCAATTTCTTAGAATTTAAGGTCTCAATTCAATTCCAACCTCATCAATTTCGTGTACCGAATAGATCCTTACTCTCTCTCCAATTTTTGCATCAAATTTTTTTATCAAAATTTGTAAATTTTGATCTTGATATGCTAAAAAATTGATTGTGTTTTGATATAAATATCATATCAATAGTTTTTATTTCAACATTTTTCAACAATTACCGTGACATTCTTTAAAAGTATACAGATAAGGCGTTAATTAGAGTGAAAGACTTACATCGTTGAGGGATGACGCCGGCCCCGGAGATAAGGCGTCGGAGTTGGGTCCGGGGGCTTCCGACGGAGGCGCCGGTGGGCTATCCAACGCCGGAGCTGGTGCTGGTGATTTAGCGTGGTGTTTCTTACTCTTTCCTTTGGCCTTGCTCTTGCTGGGAGACGGAGCTGCCGGCTTCGTCGCGGGAGCCTCGGCGGGGGACGCCGCCGGAGGTGAAGAGGCAGCAGGAGGGGTGGCTGCTTCGGGAGCGGAAGCTGGTGGAGACAGTTGCACAGGCGCTGCTGCCGGCGGAGATTTAATCGCCGGGGATATTGCCGGAGGAACAGAGGCCGGAGACAGAGCAGGGGGGGACAAAGCTGGAGCCTTGGAAGGGGCTGCCGGAGCTTTTGTAGCCGGAGAGGTCGCCGGAGCAACTGCCTTTGCAGATGTGGGAGCTTTTGAGGGAGCATTCACCGGAGAGACTGGTTTCGCGGCAACCGGAGCACTCGCCGGCGAAGAAACAGGGGCGTTGGCTGTCACCACAGGGGATTTCGACGGAGCCGTGGGTGTTTTCGCAGCCACCGGAGCACTTGCGGTCGGTGCAGTGGCTGTTTTCGCAGCGGAGGGCGCCGCGGCCGGCGACTGAGCCGCAACTCCGGCCACAATTAACAGTAGAGAGAGACATGCAACCCACCGACCCATTGCCGTCTCCTTTTTCTTTGAAGAGAAGAGAGAGAAGCAGAGAATAGCGTAATCTTTGCTTTGTGAATTTTGTTTTGGAAATGGAGCGGAGAGAAAGGGGCATTTATGGAGGCGTATTTAGTTTTAACTACACCGACACCTCCGAGACAGTGATTTGAGAATTGAAAATTAAGTTACATTTCTTTTTTGGAATTTTATTTATTAATTCTTTTATAAATTTGAATTTGATGAATATTTTTTTTTTAAAACAAGGAATATAAATGTGAATGTGAATTTCGTAAAATAAAATAAAAAACATAAAAATTAGGGATAATTTTGCAAAATTTATCCATTTAAAATATGAAATAAGTAAAAATACATATTAATTGAATTAAATTTATGGGTAAGTTAATATATATTTGGAGGTACCCCAGAGTATATTTTAAAAATGTGAGGTACCCGATAGTTAGTTTCTAAAAATAGAGGGCACCTCAGAGTATATTTTGAAAATATGAGATAACCAGCAGTTAATTTTTCAAAATATGGGATATCCAGTAGCAATTTTTTGAGAAAAGAACGTTAGTCTAAGAATGGAGGAGTACTCGTCTATTTTCATGGTAATAAAAATATCCGAGTAATTTGAAAAATAAAAAACTTATTAGGAAAAGATTTGATTCACAAATAAAATAGTCACAAGTCACACAAATATATTATTTTGTGACTATTCTTTTTATGAATCTAACCTTTTCAAAGAGGAGGAAATGATTCAAATGAGGCTCACAACGGCTACAAAGGAAGGGATAGGGTGACAACGGTAATTAAACAGACTGGAGGGGGGCCCGGAACGCATGCTGGGTTTTTAGATCGCCACATCACAACAAAGAGTTGTTGTTGATGAACTTTCCTTTTGGTTTCTTCGATGGAAATGGAGTCCTTACAGCTGGAAAAGGGTGTCCGTGGGACCAACTGGCTGGCGGAAATGCACCTAAAATTGGTGATTTTTGTATGATCCTATTGTCCCAAATATTGTTTTGGTAATTCTAGGTTTTCTTTTAAAAACTTCTAGGTATCACATTATCTAAAATTGTTTGGGGTGCTTAAAATTTGCAATAATGTATTTTAAGGTACATTCCGTCAAGTTAGCCGAGAACGAATCCTTTATATATAAAAAAGGAAAGTGTAATTTCCAAGAACTTGACATGTCGCAGATTCTAAGAACTTGACATGTGGCGATTCCAAGAACTTGACGCATGTTGTTCTCTCATTATTTTTTCTCCCTATAAGGAATATATAATATTTTGAATATTAACTTAGCATATTTTAACTCTTCCATCTTCTGTTCTTTTTTTCCTTTCATTTATTTTTTCAAAATAGTAATTACCTTTTCAAAAACCTTTTTATTTCAAATTTGCTATTTACAATACTTTTACATGAATTTTAATTAATTTAAAAATCTAATTTTTTTGAATTGTCATTAAAAATATGTTTTAAAAAATACTTTCTTTTATCTTTATACTCCGTATATTACAGAGTAAATTTGGGAGTAAATTCACCAAAGGTTGACACATCACAAGTCTATTGGGCGTATTTTTTACAAGTCAAAAACATGTGTCTATTGAAGTTATTGTTGTAATACCCTGTATCAAGATGGGAATGGGAAGAGCTCAAAAGGATTAATAGTACTACTCATACCAACAAGGTGCATCTTCTTTTCGAGAGCTCATCACCTAGAAACTCCAAAGTTAAGCGTGCTTGACCTGGAGCAATTTTAGCATGGGTGACCCCCTGGGAAGTTTTCCTTGGCCACTCACGAGTGAGGACAAAGTGTGCGGGAAAGACTTGTGTTGGTTTGTGGGGCCAGTCTACAATCCTATGAGCGGACACTTACGGCTAGGGTGGGGGCCGGGGTGTTACAATTGTGTTGGCAAATTTTTAAGGTCAACATCTTTCGGGCTTTTTACGCACTTTTCACCAGTAATTTCGATGAAGGATTAGATCTAGGATGAATGAGAGCTCTCTTTTTGCTAATTTTATATCACTACATGCAAATTCTTCTCTTTACTCTTATAATTTTCTTTTAGGCATGTGTGTGATTTTTGTAGAATACTTAGTTATGCATATACTTCTTTGAATGAACTTTATTAAATTTATATTTAGGTTAATGATCTTATGTCAAAGAAAAAGAAAAGTTATGGTCGGATTGGTCGCTACCTATCTTGAAAAAAATAACAACCTTAAGACTTCTCATTGTATGAGGAGATATAATTTTTTATTTGACTTTTAACAATCTTCAATTTAACATTTTAACTATTAGTATGGATATTTACACTTATCGTATCTCATGAAAAATATTATATTTCTAAATAATGTTTCCAAAATATTATTGATATTACACTTATCGTGTCCGTTCTCATGAATGCCAGCCATGAGGTTCTTGATATGAACAGTCGTGCTCATCCTTTCCATGAAAGAATACATTCTGTCTAAAATTGGGTTTGGTAGGGGTGACATACTTGAAGCCTCACTTGGCCTTCCCTTTCGCATTCTTTGCCGCCTTCGCCTCAAATAGATGGCTCTGACCACTAACTTCCTTGTCAAGAGAGTTGTAGTCGTCCCGTGGGCGTCTTAACATTGAGAACAATGAATTCTCCGCCCCTACTCGTTGAGTACTTGAGTATGCACTAGTCTTAGAGAGTTTAGTTTGCTTCGGTTCTTGTTAGCGGGTATTTGTGTTTAGTTTGTATTGGGCTCACTTTGTAACCTAGCCCGTTATGTATTCTTGTATATATACGACTTCTATTGATTAATGAAGGCAGATTAGTTTTACACTAAATTTTACATGGTATTAGAGCCTCGTAGACTAAGAGGTCACGAGTTCGAAACTCAGCACCACCCAATTTAAAAAAAAATTAAGGTTTCACGTGCAAAGCTCGAAAAAGACTACGCCTGCACGTGAGGGGGCGTGTTAGAATATAAATAACTATTCCTAATCCTTCGGTGTTTGCCTTAATGATGAATTTGGGGCTCTTCTTTAAAAAGTTCTAGATGTCCAAGAACTTGAAAAGTTTTATTTCTGCTTGAAAGTAAAGTTCAAGCACCTTTGAGAAAATGTCATCGGAGTTAGACCCACTGGTCACGTGTTCTAGACGTTGCCATACAGACCACTGAACTTTTAGACTTCTAGGTGTACCCCCCCTGTTCCCAAAGCATCTCACTGTCACATTTGGGCGTACCAACGGGCATCATGGTGTTGTACTTTGCCCAAACACGCTCCTAGAACATATCAATTTGATCTTCTAAAAGTTCCCGATGATAATGGCATTCTCCGACATGTCAATGTAGAATTTTACCAATGTTAGACTTTTTCTTGGGGTATACTTCTTTGGCCTGTCAATCTTTTAGCCCTTCCCTTTGCTCTGGCGCTCTCTTATGGGCTTGAACTTAGAAATGTCGTATTCATCTGCATTAATGACCAACAATTGGCAAGAGTTATTATTGAACTCAGAGAACGAGGCAAAGTTGTCGCCCATAAACCCCCCTAGTGGCACCTTTGACTGAAAACTAGCAGAGTCTGCATATCTGATATAGTGATTTTATGAATGTCATATTGTTGGAAGGGGGGGTTTTCACCGCTGAGATTCATATTCAAAATTGAGACAAGAGAGAAATGAAAATGAAATGAGAGTGTATGAATTGGGGTTAAAGATATGGTTAATTCACAGAGTTAAACATTAAAAAATTGAAGTGTGGAAACAAAAAAAAAGGACGATGTGGCAGACGCCTGCAATGGGTGTTGCCGCGCCCCACGCCCCGATACACGCCCAACTTCCGGCTTGCATCCTGGCTTGCGCTGCCGCTCCGAGTGACGTGACAGTCGACACCCCCCTCTCCCTCCATTGTAAGTGGCTTAGGTCCCATTGATACAATAATAACTAAGTGAATGTTTCTATGTACGTATAAACTAGTTAAAATAATTATAGGTAGTGTTTGGAAAATAATATTTCATTTCAATTCATGTATTTCAATTCTAAAATTTGAAATTTTGAATTTCAAATGACAAAGAAAGGTGCATGAATATCAATTTAAGCTTTGTTATGAATGAGAAGAATTTGACTCAAATCCAAATTCAAAATTTTTAGGTTTCCCAAACATGAAATTTGAGTCAAAACCAGATTTGAAATTCAAATCAATGTTTCCAAACATATCAATAAGTTAATTTTAACTTAAAGATCATCTCATGACATGTTTCTTTGTGCTTATAAATTTATTTATGAATTGTTTGTATATTAAAAAAAGTATGTTTCAAAAAAAAAAGTAAGTAGGTCATATTAACTCACTAAGGGCCTGTTTGGGATTAGCATTAGAGATTAGCGTTATTATTTTGGATAAAATTTGTACGGTGCAAATTACTTTAAAAATGTTAACGCTAAACGTTGTCTGTAGATAGCTTTTTCAAAACGCTAACGTTAATTTCTAACGCTATTCCTAAATAGTCTCTAAAGAAACGAAGAAACACCGTACCCCCTAATTGCGTGTTGACTATTTCGATTACGGCAATCATGCATCAAAGTCCTACAAGCACGATCTTTACATTAACTAATGTAAATATACTTGGAAAATACTAAATTGTACCCCAACACTTCTTTCACTAGTTAATTAATGTGTCACACGGTGATTTATCTACCATTAACATTATTATATGTTTGGCAAAAAAAAAATTGGGACGGGAAATAAAAAACTTAGAGGATTTTTTTTTGGTTTGGTTTCAGAAGAAAGGAATAGAAAATGAGAAACGAAACGAACATAGAAAAAAACAAAATTCCTTCAATTTTGGTGAGTAAAAGAGAAAATATCTTGAAGCAAAAACAGAGAAAACATCTTTCTTTTCTTTTTCTTTTAAAACATGAAACAAGGCCACAAATTACATGAAAACACATTTCTTCTTCTTTTTTTTTTTACATCAAACCGCGATATCGTAATGAATGTGCCGGAGAACGACGGGGACCACGATGTCCGGGGAGCTGAGTTGCGGCAGGTGGCCGTCGGTGGACATGACCTCGACAATGGAGTGGCCGCCGAGATTGCGGTGGAGGTACTCGGAGACGACGACGGGCACGGCGGAGTCCTTCATGCTCTGGACGATGTGGCAGGGGACGGTGACGCGGGGGAGGATGTGGCGGAGGTCGCTGCGGAAGATGGTCTGGAGGACGGAGAGGGCGATGTCGGGGCGCATGTTGAACAGCGTCCGGCTGAACTCCTGCACCGCCACCGAGTCCATGTCGCCGCCCACCGCTAGGGGCGCGAACCCGGAGCACCATGACTTGTAGTTTGACCGCATCGCTTCGAATAACTGCTCCAAGTCTTCCACCTCAAACCCCCCGTAGTAGTCTACGTCGTTTAGATACCTTACAAGTTCAATGCAAGATTTTGTTTTTTGAGATACATACTCCCACCTCAATGCCAAAAAAAGGTTTCAATTGTTTTACAACTTAGATTTCATTTTAATTCTAGGATTTCATTTTTAGAATTTTAAATTTGAAATGGGATTGTATGAATTTGTAATAGAGTTTTGTTGAGAAGTATAAAAATTTGATTCAAATTCAAATTTTTAGATTTTTAAGGGTTCGTTTGGTATACAGAATTGTTGGAATTAAAATTGAATTGGAATTAAAATTCTATGGGATTCAATTCCATAGAATGGAATTCACAATTCCAATTCATTTTTTGCACTAGAATTTCCAAATCCACATAATTTTTATGCTACCAAACACCATAATGAGAATTGAAATCCTCAATTTCAATTTCGTAGTTTGAATTTCGTGTACCAAACGGGGCCTAAACGTATAATTTAGATCAAATTTTAATTTAAAACCCAAATTTAAGATTACATATAGATCATAAGTGGTAAGAAAACTTTTGAAAGAATTGCAATATAGTTAGATATAGTGAATAAATTAATTCAAACTCTTCAATATTTAATACAAGGATCTGGTGTTATCGTAATAACAACGGATCCCTGCTGAATTCATAGAGTTGAGTTTGTTTGGGTCCATGTAAAATGGTTGACTTTTTCTTTTAGACTCCCTATAAAATACTACCTCCATCCCGCTATATTTGTCCACTTTTGACTTTTGGAATTGTTCATCTAAGTACTTTGACTCATCAAATTCTCTCAATGTGTAAGTCTAAATATAGTCATGTGTGATCTTGTTTGATTTGTCTTAACATATAGATTATTAATATATAATTTCTATAATTTTTTAATTTACAAATTACAAGATAAAATGGATTAAAGAAGTGTATTGGATGATGTGTAAAAATGAAAGTGGACAAATACTCTGGGACGGAGGGAGTATTTCTTACCACTAAAGTTATCCTTGTGAAATACTACCATTCTTTCTTTTTCACAAAACAATTCCATTTTCACCTTTCACTCATGTAAATAGACTCTTTGGAATAAGAGTAATTGTTTTTCTTATTCTTGACGATTTTAACTACCCATTACTGCAATATATACCGTACAAACGGTTGTACGGACTTTCCCAACATCTATGCCGAGTGTTCATTTACGAGTAATTGAATGCTCAATTTTGAGCAAGTGAATACCCATTCTCAAATAGCTGAATACTCATTTTTTTGAAATTTAGTTATGTTCGAAAATGAATATTTAGTTACTCAAAAATAAATATTTAATTACTTGATAAATATTTATGCCAATGTACGAAAATACCATAGATCCAGAATATGGTGTATCTACTCACTTGTAACGAAATTTTGTAAGTGCTATGAGGACTTTAAATGCCGCATAAGTTTAGCCGACCCGACTTGTCTTCAAATTTTAAATTACATAACCCACTTTTCTCAACTTATCCAGTAGTGTGTGATCGTAATTTTAATTCTCTTTTATTAATTTACTAATTTCCATGTAATGTTTCACACGAGTGACGAGTCTATATATAGTCTAAAAAATTTTAAATTCTTATAAAAAGTATATTTCAATTTCTGTTTATTTTAGTTTTCCTAATAATGCATATTGTAAGTTCGTATAAATATAACTGTGTCTGTGGATCACAGACACATAATGTCTGTGTTTATTTGGTATACAAATATGATGCACTATTTTGGTGTACCTCTAACATGGTCCTTCAATTATTTTTACATTTTCTCTTATTATCTCAATCACTAATTCTTTACTATCTCTTTTACTTATTAAATCACTTTTAAACTCCATTTAAACCTTTTTAACCATTTCTAAATTTTTTCTTAATCTTCAAAGTCTAGCTCATGTGCCCTTCGGCAGTGGAGCCAATCACTGATCTTGG